GAGAACCAGTCCACTTGAAATCCCAGAGAAGTTTCGCAAATGAGTTCCAATTAATACGGAAACTAGGTCTAGGGTTTCCTGCCAATGGAAGTCGACCACCTAACACTAAAACATGCTTTAGTCTGACTATATATGATTATCATCCACACTACTCGAGCTCCCAATTTCGAGGTTTTGTGCCATTTCCCCGAAATTTTCCCCAATATGTGCCATATTTTCCCCATATGCATAGTATTGTAATAAAACAACTTTGTGTTATAGACTGACTCAGTACTAACTAGTAATCCTTTTTTATAACAAATATATATTTTTAACCAAGTTTACTTGAAATACTGAGTCTTTTTACCGGACATTTTGTTTAGATACTCAAAATGCGGTTGCAAATGCTACATTCACTGTTCAGCTGTATATAAAACTGCTACTGTTGTTCAACATGCTGACTGTTATTCCATACTTTTTATATTTTTAAAAAGATATATATGGAATTAAGTTATATAATCTAATAAATAGTTGTATTTTGGTTCCTGCATGTTTGTAAATAGTGAGAAAACAAATGATAAAGCATTCTTGACTTTTTTAAATAAATTCTAAAGTTCAATCAATTTTTTAAAAGAGCATTTTGATTTGAAAGGATTAGTATATAATGGTTTTAAATATATTCATGAAAGGATAAGAACTCATCAACACCAGAAAATGCGGCGTACGTGGCTTAATCTCCCATTCTTTTTAACTAGAACAGTTTTACTTAACATGCCAAATAAATAACACGACAGGGAATCATATTCTACAATAAACTATAGTACTATCATCTTTAACACTACGGTAATGATAACTATTTAATATTGACTTACTGATTACAATGAGTAGGATTTAGATGCTCAATTCCCATCTGGACAACTAAATAGTATAACACTACCGCTCATATTACAAGTATGCTCATTGACTGAACAGTACAAAAATCTGTGCTTAGTTAATAGCTTTCTTCAAAATTACCAGTTAGTCAGTCATCTACAGAGCAGAACCAGGTACATATATGCATCGCTTCAAGTTACCACACCTCATTAGCACAACAAGATGAACACCGAATTCACAGAAGTAGTCACTTCATTGATAGTAATGAATAAAAGAGAGATTACGTATAACATATAGTACAGTAAAAAAGGATTAGATCGTAGAAAGAGAGATATAAAGCAATTTTAATATCACGGTTTAAGGGAAGACAAAGAGTGTATACACCCACCCAATTGTGATCGATTCTGAGCCATGTCACACACAGTATCCAAACACTAGTTACAATAGTCACACAGACCCAAACAAAGTAGTCTGCATCTACCAACATGGTTCAAACTAGAAGATAGTGACTCCAAGAACTGATACCACTCTCTGGCTTGGTCACTCCTAACTTTCTTCCAACCGTCTCCAACACTTGTCAGCGTTGCAAGTCGTGGTAAACGGCGTTTAAAAATATGTCTGACGTGGACCAATCAACTCAGTCGATGAAGACTCACAAACTCATCAACTGATTTACCATCATTCCCTAATACACTGAGTCTAACCTCATTATTACTCACTATTACCCGGTGATCCTACATCCCTACTGGCCACGTCTCGCAGCCACAAAATAAAACACAACCAACTGCTGTACTGTATACTCGTCCCTTGATTGAAAGACGGATATCTCGCCTCCGCCATAGTAGGTGACGTAAGTTGGCGTAAGCCAAACGACTATTTCGAATCCGTGATCAGATTTCGTCAGACACCAACCCATTAGGGCTGGTCAGATTTCCAAGATAAGTGAAGTTGTCGACGTGTTCGACTACTTCACTCCCTATCCTTAGTTCAGGTGTTGTCACAGGCCAGCACTGAAACAACAACTTGCATTTAGAGGGAGAGAAACGCATCCCAAAATCCTTGATATTGTTGCTCAGTGCTATCAAAATACTCTGCATTTTATCAGCGTCTTCACCAAACATGACTATGTCATTTGTGTATTCTAATTCAAATAAGTGGACCTCCTCGTAGGAGGTCAATCTCCGAAAATTCAGTCAACCAGAACGCTATTTCCAGCAGGAAGTCTATGATGAAATTGAACAAACATGGAGAAAGTGGACAGCCTTGACGGACAACACCTGAGATTGAAAAATCAGATGAAGTCTTTCCATAAGCACTGACTCGACTGGTAGTGTTCGAGTAAAGAGCCTTCACAAGGTCTATGTACTTCTGAGAAAGGCCTTTCAATGACAGACACTGACACAGAACCTCTCAGTCTACAGAGTCAAATGCTGCTTTTAAGTGAAGAAAGACCACCATTGTCGGGCGCCGATAAGCATGTCTGTGTTCTAAGATCTGACGAATGATGAATATGTGGTCGATGCAGCCACAACCAAGTTTGAAGTCAGCCTGATTTCCTCGTGTTTGCAGTTCACGAGTCCTAGTTAGGCATCCGATAATTATCGAGCCTAGTATTGTAGATACTATATTAGTTAAACTAATCCCTCTGTGGTTGTCACAGGATGATTTTGACTCCTTATATATTGGGACAATCAGTGATTACGACCAGTCAGATAGGATTACATCCAACTCTCAGATTTTAGCTAAAATATTAATCAACATAATCGCTAAAATTGGACCACCATCCTTAAAGACCTCTTGAGCCAATCCATCTGCTCTTCCTCGTTTCAGACTAGCTACAGCTTTTTGAACTTCAATTAGAGTCGGGGGCCTATTTCAATGTTCCGTTCAGGATGTTTAAAAATGGTAGGTAGCTGTGAAATAGTTGGAGGCAAGCCCAATTCCTCCTTAAAGCGTTTCGTCCATCGTTCTAAACCTCTAAACCGCGAGCAGATGAGAATGTTGTCTTTTTCATAGATTCTTACACTTGGCTTCTCAATTTCGACTTTTTTTATTAGTCTGAAAAGTTGCCTGATGTTACCTACAGCCGCTGCCATTTCCATCTGTTTTGCTTTCGTTGGCCACCACTGCTCACGATCGTTCCATAGACTTTGGGCTAACCTAGATTTCATTTGTTTTCGCTCATCATCGTGTTCGGAGCCTGATGGGATAAGTTTACGAGAGTCTAGCAGTGCAAGAGATGTAGCACAAATGCACTGGTTATTCGTGGTCCTTTGTTTCAAATCACTAGTAGATGTCTCTGCTGTTTGTATATCTTGCTAAGCAACATCCGGGTCGGCCTCGTTTTCGGAATAGACTAAGTTGTTCCCGTAATTTACTTTTGGCTTTGTCGTCACTGAGTTTAACTCGAATGGGTCTTTTTAATGTGGCTTTATCGTGTCCAGTGAAGCACAAGCAAATGCGTGCTTGTATTAGAACATGATCGGAGTCCAAGCATGTATTCCAGAACGAGCAGTAGTCTTCTTTCGAACCTCAACAACGATGACTGATGGCAATATGGTCTAGTTGGGTTCATCGTTGGTTTGGTGAAGGTGATCGCCATTTTAGACTATGTCTCTTCTTATGCTTGAAATTAGTGCTTGTTAAAAATAAACGATTGTCTGGGCACAGATGCAGCAGACAATCACTGTTATCTGTTCTCTGTGCTGGAATTCCAAAAAACCCACCCAAATGTCTTTCTGTTTTGTTTGAGCTACCTACTTGGGCATTAAATTCACCTGCTACAAGTATTATGTCCGAGTGTTTAGCTTCTTAAAGAACTTCAAAGAGATTTCTGTAAAAGCTACTTTTCACTCCATCCGGGCTTCAGTCAGTGTAAGCGTTGGTAGAAACCACGAAAAGGTGACGTGTTCTTACGGAGTCGTTTAGTCGGACAACATACAGTCGACTGTTAACGCGGATCCATTCTAATAGTGTTTGTTCTGCCCTCGTACTCAGTGCTATGCCTACACCCGCCAGTCCATGAGAAATAGGCATCGGGTCACCAGGTAAACGGAGGGTATATCTCGTCGGCTGCCCGTTTTGGCGAGGTGAGGTCAAGTGAATTACCACACTAGGATCCTGTATGCATGTTTCAGAGACACAGCAAACATCAATAGTACGAGATTCTAGGGTTTTAGCCAAGGAGGTCTGCTGGCCGATTTGATATAGGGTGCGTACGTTGAAGACTCGAATGTGTAGTTTTGAGCGCGGTGTCAATAGACTTGGGACAGTATTTCGCGCACTAAGATCGTTGGCCATTGTGACACTTGAGAAGCAAGTCGATGCAGTAAGTTTAGAGTTGGTAGTCAAGAGAAGATGAATAATAGGAATTGAAGAGGGAAATTGTTTATGAATACAGTGGTCTTGAGTGCTGTTAGAGATATGAGGACGGTTTTCTACATCGTGGAAGGGTTCTTCTGGAGGTACCTGAAAAGGTAATCGGGTTAGAGTTGGTCTTAGTGGCCTGAGAGCATGACCGCAGTGCTCATTGTACAACCTCTTCAGGCCGGTCACACACGACCTTCTTGTGGGTAATTTTTGTGTTAGCTCAGTACTAGTTGAGACCTTACCGCCGAAGACGGATATCTGTAGGATAAGACGAGGTATGTATTCTTAGGATCAACCTTTACTAACCCTACCCTTCCTTTGTGGGAAGACAGCATCGCTATCATGCTGGTTGTCTGAAGGAAACACCTTACTGCCGTCACATCTCTGTACAGTCAGCAGTACGACTTCACCGTCGGACCTTGACTTTGTTGCTTCTAGTCTTACTGCTATTTAACCAACCTGTCTGGCACCGTAGGACCTTGAGGAACAATTGTTTCAACTAGTATAGCTCGACTGGTTCACCACGATAGGCAAGCCCGACTATCATGTCAAGGTAGAAGCAACGGTCAGGTCCAAATTACCAATTAACTGTCTGATTTTCAGTACATGGGATGAAGTTATAATCTATAACTGAATGGCGGAAATCAGGCCTTTTAAACCAATAAAACGCAGTTCCGACTTTAAAATTAACAAACGAGGAAAGCCGGTTTATGTAGGCTGAAGACAAGTTTTTCCGAGAATACGATAAAGCGGAAATTCTAACTACTGTTGATTGAGATGTCACGAATACATGATTATTTTACGACTAACATTTTACATGATGCTCAATTTATTTGAAAAGATAAAGAATATCACTTGAAAAGGAAAGAATTCGATGGATAAAAAGCATAAGATAATGTAAATGTATCTGAGCCATTGAGACCAATCCTGAGCCATGTCATACAACATCAACTATTTGTTACAATAATCGGACACACCGAAACCAAGTAGTGTAAATGCTAGAGTGAATGAAGACATCTTTCGTCATGAAGTAACGCAACTGTTAATGTATTTGTAGAAAAAAATACAAATATAAGTACTAAAATTAATATTTACGAACGATAAATTATGTTTCGGCAACATATAATCAATAGGAAGCAGAGAAAATAACAGGATGAACCCGAACACCGTACAGGACAATGTCATAATCGGATGCAAGCTAAGATAGCAGAAATAACTAAAGATGATCCTAGAGCGATAAATCCTGTTGTATTACATGTTTTGATAGGAAAACCAATAGCGTAGTCCCAAGCCTAGTAAAATAAATAAATTATACAATCACACATTTTCCATAAAATAAAAAGCTAATAGTAAAACTCAATAAAGGTCTCTGAAAATGAGCCATGAACAAAGTGGAATTTTTTTAGTTCCTCTCCACCAAACAAGTTACTTATTTCATAAAGAGATAATTTTTAAGTTGAGTGGCAACCGATGCAACATTGTTGAGCATTCGACTAATACGCCAGAGGTATTGGTATCAGTGTAGTTACGCCATATAATGAAGCTGTAGTGTTTAGGCTAAAAACCTTGATGGCGTTTTATCTTTTTTAAAAACATGATAAATTACCCTAACGCGATAATCGGGCTTGTCTACCATGACAGCACAATCAGCCTATTTTTGGTGGAGTTTTGTTCTCTGAGCTGGATGGTTTGGTCGTGGAGCTTTCATCGTTCTTCTAAACAACATCATCAGCACAAACTTCAGATAGAAGTGAAGTGTTCGAATTCCTCTATATGTGTCTCACAGCTTGTTCTGTGCACCTCGATGTTGATATCAGAAACCGCAACAAGACTGCTGAAAACCTTCGGGATAGGTGTGGCACACAAACCAACAAAATCACTACAATCAATCCTATGCAAACCAAAGGATGAAATAACAAAGGAAAACAAATCAAACATCATCTACAAAATAAATTGTACCAACTGCGACAAACACTACATCGGATAAAGCGGACGCCCCCTCCACCTACGCTTACATGAACATCAATTAGCAGTCAAATGCCATGATATCTCTTCACTTATATCAATACACGTGGATAACTACGGACACTCATTCGATTGGGAAAATGTAGAAATCTTAGACAGAGGAAATTCCAAAAACACCAGAGAATTTTTAGAAGCCTGGCACTCAGGTCAGTCAGCAATCAACAAACATATTGAAATCAATCCAATTTATCAACCAATCAGGAAAATCATGCATAAATATAGGAACAAAAATCAAACCAATGAGAGACACAACCAAAACAAAGAAGTAAACAATGGTAAATTTAAGGTCAACAAGAACCAATCAACATCGAGGTGCATAGAACAAGCTGTGAAACACATATGGAGAAATTCGAACACTTCACTTCTATCTGAAGTTTGTGCTGATGATGTCGTTAGGAAAAAACGATGAAAGCTCCACGACCAAACCATCCAGCTCAGAGAACAAAACTCCACCAAAATCATCTACCTGAGCTACAAATCTTCTCCACCGTCTCACAATCAGCCTGTATTGACTGGAATATATATTTCTTGAGATCCTACCATGTTAAGCACATCAGTTGAAGATTAGTAAAACTGAGTTCGTTAAGTTCAAAGGTTGCAGTCATGTTGTTGATTGTAGTGAGATATACCAGTATAGTAAGGTGCTTCCCATAAATAAATAGCACCTAAATTATCCTGCCTTCCTACAGTGTAAGTTAGAAGAGTCTTATCTTAAATGTGGCCCAAATTGCCTCGCCTCACATATTTCAGATGGATTGTTGGTTAAGGCATTTCACTGAGTTCTAGATACGAGCCCCACACTTAGAGTTAAAGTGACCCATATCCAAATACCTAGCGAATGAGCTAATTAATTTACTATACAAATTTCAAGACCTGAAATTAAAGTATACAGAGTGGTTTTTACAACAACAAAAAACGTATATGGTCAATTCCAAGCAGCAGTCTCTTGAGCCTTTGATTGACGCTCCATTATTTAATCTTCCCAAAAAGAAATTTCTTTACAGTGTAAGTAACCTGGAAGTGTCAGTCATTTGCATAACTCTAACAGAACTTAAGACAATACTGTTCATAGTAAAAATCCTATCCTTAAAGTATTTTTCTATTCCTATTATCAGCCTTCCTCAGATTTCATCTTCACTTTCACATGTAACCAATGTTAGTGATGCAGTCTTGAGAAATGTTATTCCATATCTCATGAAACCGTTTCAAACTGTATCGAAGCTTTCATTATATGGACACGAATCAAACAAGCTTTACTGACCAATACTTTAGGCCAGCATACAGAATCGGACTATGATTTTTTTTATGTGACATCACTAAGCTATTGTACAAAATAGGTACGAACCACCACTCGACATTTGACATTTTTACTACCCATTATTAGGGAGTTGACCAGAAGCGTTGTAAGGTGTGGATGGTTTTCCACATAACAGTATACACGTTTGAACACTAACCACACTCTGGTGAGATCAAATATTCGTCCTTGACCCAGGAAAATCGCAATAGGAGGGCTTCTGATTTATTATTATGAAACTATCTTTGGTATGCCCAAGGTACAGCTACCTGAGCACATAGCTAATCAGGGAAGGAATGTTCAACCTGAGACAACTATACAGGGAGACTGAGGTGCAACACAATATACAAATCAGAAAAAAGACACTTTAAAAATCCCCAATACAAAGCAGTAACTATGCCATTCATATCCTAATAATATTGATTTGTTTCCCGCCCTCCAAGTATTCATTTATAATTTGCAAATTACTGTATCATTGCTGACACTATTTCTATATTGTTGAAATATGCGACAAATGAAGACGATAAACCGTCACACGGTGCTTTACATTATTTGTATTTTTCTCGAGTATAGGAACGTAATTCTGATTGGGAGCACTCTTAGATTGCGCATATATATGAGATTGCATAAAAATGTTCCACTGGGTCCGTTTCATTAAGAGAACAGCTATAACATTAATATTCTGGTGAACAAGACATAATAATTTAAAAATATCCTTGTTGGAACCGAAGTAATAGATATGAAACCTTAAACTTTTATGGGCTCATTTGGTTACAGCATGCAAAAAGGAATAATTCACAATACAATGAACGCTTACCAAATGTCTAATCCCGTTCAAATAGTGGTAAACCAACGGGTAACATAGAATAAACTTGCATGCGGCTATGACGGAAGAACCCAAATGCATGTTTTTTACATAATCAAGTATAGAGTCATAATGTCCAGTGAAAAAGAAAGCACCAATTCCTACAGATGACCACACTTTGAAAAAATTGTGATAGAAACAAAGAGATCTAGTCAAGAACAGAACGTCAACGTAAATGAAAGCAAAACTAGAAACAACATGATCAGGTACAAACAATAGTTAGGGAAAAAGTTTAGTCAGTTACTTATCAACCTTAAAATATAGTTTATTATATCACTGTGCAAGATGCTCACAAGCGCTAATACACTTTTACGCGTAACCGTCATCTATACCTCTAACAATCGGATGAACGTGGGATGAGCTTATATCCCCCACCTGATCAGGCATTTAAAATAACAGAATCTAACAAATTAACCTTCATTACCACCGAAAACTACTAGCCAAACGACAATTATACCTTTCACATCAGATCGTTCAATGATCAAAACTCTCAAATTTCAGAGACAATCAGTACCTTCAATTTACAAGAACGGTTTTATTCCAACAATATTTTGCATTCTCTTATGCACATCATACGAAATCTTTTGATCTGAAAAACGCAAAGTTAGCATCTCCGACACGTACAATGATAATTATTGTTACAAGAATATCACAAATAACTTTATATTTTTATCTCCTTATTGCTTACATACTAGTTTACAAAAAGACTTACCTATAGCCATCGCAATTCCCGTCGCTCGATGTAGAAAAGAGAATCTCATTACCAAAGGTGCCGAGTAAACCTGAAGGTGGGGAGACCAGGGCCGCCTTTCAGTAGCATTTCTGTCCCAAAACGACTGCATTTCCTTTTCAGCTTGCCTACGAACGTTTTCACTCGTACTACCTTTAGCTGCTTTAGTTGTACGTACGACTGACGATGGTCGTAAAAGTCCTACTGAGACTTTGGATACTGGTACAAAAACTTCACTGAAACCAGTAAGGTTTCGCAAACAACACAACCTGGATGAAAAACTGATGAAAGAGTTAATATTCAAAAGCAAAGAACCTCATCATTGAAATTAATTTCACGATTTCTTTCAGGGCGGTTATATAAGACCTTGAAGGCTAATGTTCCAATATTGAATTCAATACCAGAATTCTAGACTTGCGTTTTAAGGACAGAATGCTAAGAGCACATATTATTCGTTTTCTACGTCTCCGTGACTTTCCCACCACCCCTCAGACTATTTGATTGAAAATATGAACCCTAATATGCATAATATAGTGAGGTTACATTTCCTGAAGTCACATCAAGAGACAGAGCTTAAAGCCATAATGTGACTAAAGTGTCATACTTATTGTCATGTGAGTGTCCGATTTACGTGTAAACACAGTTTGCAGCGTGAACAGGCATCATCTACAATGCAGACGAGGTACGCGGAGCATCAAGGTCGAACTGAAATATAAGTTTGTTGACATTCTTTGTGACTGCTCATGAAATGTTGAATTCAGCGTTACGCAGCAACAGAGGCTTCATGATATACGGGATTTCGTTAACATTAAGTAAAAACAGTAAATGAGCGAGATTAGAGACTTGAGGTATTCCATAGAGTACTCTTCCCGAGGGACCTATTTGCGATTTATCTCACTTTAGTCAACTGCCTGCCTAAAGACTCTTGAACTACCCAAGCACTGGACTAGAAACTTTCGGGAATCCTGTGACTCTAACATGAGCCAATGACGTAACGTTATATCAAATATTTGAAAAACCCTATGCAGAAGTATATTTAGTGTGCCATTACCAAACATTTTCGTCCATTTATTATTTTGATATCACGAAGTATGTTGTGTCCGAAAATCCTTTCGTGAAGCCGTGCCGTTCATGTTTTTTTTTCAAATTACTTGTGCTAATGAGGGTCAAAGTACCTTGTCGCTCTGACAGTGATATTTTGAATATCATGGTTGACAAATTAGTTATATATATTGAAAGTACTTTTGGAAGTTTAGAGGCAATTGTCAAATGTTAATAAAGGTTAGTAACTTTAAAACGTCGACTAATGGAAGTCTACTGTAAGTAACTGAATAAAAAAAGTTATCCATGAAGCTAATTCTGAGTAAAAAGAGTTCTTGAGATTGGAACTGTCGAAATATGGTCTGTTATTTTTTTAGATGGTGGTTGGAGGTAGTCAACAGGAAACCCTGGACCCGGGTTTCGTGCTGTTTGGCACTCGTCAGAAAGGTGTACCTGTAATCTTGAGGAAAATGGTGCTCCCTGGCGGATTCGATCTCGTGTCACCCAGCTTCACATTCAGAGACGTTACCACTGAGTTGTCCGAGCCGCGACTGACCTGGTCTGCTATGGTATTAGTACTGCTCTAATAATAGACCTAATCCTAAAATTGTAGTTTTGCCATGGTATAACTGCCTAATCTATAAGATCTTACGTCGAAGACACACCATCATCTTCACCAACTCATTGCATCGTAACAATCACAAATACATGATGGAGAACAAGCTTAGGCTGGAGATAGAACAATATGTTTAATATGAATAAAAGATAAAGGTAACACTCAACAGGGACCACGCCTGCATGGACGAGCCATGCCATACGATCAACTCCAATTAATTCAATTCCTTATCCCCGTCTTCTCCATCGTTGGGTTATTCTCTGCGTTAAATGTTGAACATCTATTTCCCCAATTGTCTCGTGTTCATTTTTGATGATTGTGTTGTTAATGCCCAATGCCGCTACACTATACTACCACCAGAATCAACATGATGTTGGTTCGATACCGAATCGGATGGGATTGTTGAGAGCCGAAAGTTGCCAGTAATAATAAGAATCCTCCGGGTATTGATAAACTGAAAGATTCATCAGAAAGAAGGCGGTATCAACTGTTCGAGAAATACATGTAATAATTTTAAAATATCTGCTTTAATGCATAACACGCTTATAATGGAAACCCAGATGAACATTATTTATACGTCACACATAAGAAGAACGATTTATTTTGGAGATATTTTAACAAGTCACAATAAAATGCATAGTAATAACATTTGCCTAATGTCAAGTTGTAGGTCGTATAAGTAATTTTAATATGTTTGGTTTTATTCTTAACACGCCGGAAATAGAAGTCAGTGTGAAGATTGTATATGAGTTGAACAAAGTTGGACTTTAAGACTTAAGGATGATTTCGCGTATTGATATTTCAATAAATCGCCATAAGATGCGTAGTTATAGCCGTAGGTTAATAGCATTTTGCATCTAGAAATATTAAAAACAATCAATATTTTAAAAGTGGTATTATATTTGGTTTAATTTATTTTTCTAGGATTCTCGCAGAGCTGGATGAATTATTTTTTCTTGGATTTATGGAAGATAACTCAATTCTTAACTATTAACATATAAACTGTGAATTTCATGCCATATGATAAGTTCTGAGTTTAACTTACGGTATTTATGATTATATTCATACAATAATTCATAATTATATAATTACATATATTCATTTTGACTATACGATCAAACTATACTCTGTCACTTTGAAACCATATATAATCATATTTGACGAAGATTTGCATTTCATATCTGTATTCTATTCCTTAAGGAATTTGTGGTTGTATCGTATTTGAATGCTTTAACTCACGTACTTTATGTATCTACAGGATCTATTCAAACCTCTACCTAATATTAAGAAATATATATACAACCGTGTATGTTAAAGGACTGTATTCACTATTTTATGAACTATCATTTAAATCGTATTTGGATACTATAAATCATTTAATTTCCGAAACTACCTGTCCGATTCGGTGAGTCTGTCATAGTTTGTGTTGACAGTATTTTTTTTCCAAAAAGCTGTTTCATATATTTGTTTAAGAAGCAACATAATAATCTTAGACGGTAATAATCTTCTAAACTACTTATCTCTACACCTCCCAATTTCTACTAATACGGACTTTTAGTTTATATATGTTTCACGTACTGTACTTTTTTGATTGTTTGATACTAATTATCAACATTTCTAAATTACTTTACTATATAAGGCTATCTTTCATGTCATATGTGTTAAAATGAATACAACTTGCTCCCTTATATTCTATTTTGCCTCTACACAAATACTGACATAAATACTTCATCTCCACTACTATCTTCCTGCCATTGTCACCTTCTGTTTTTAACACCACTAATCCTCACGATACAATGACACTTGGTTAAAACATAGATTTCGATTTTTAGACTAACTTGAGCCCTCGGAATCGATTTTTTCACCCCTTTCTATTTCCAACATTCTGTTCAATCCACTTGCCAAACGTCACTTTCTTATCATGCCACAAAAGAAAATGAAGACCCCTGCTTTTAGGCGTTCAGACAAACGTAGGAAAACGACACAATTTAACACCACCACTGACACGATTCCCAAGTTTTTTTTAAATATGGCAAGTATAATGCTAACATTATTGAAAATTGTGTATTATTGCATTTCCTGAAGAAACCCGAAATGGTTTCTTCACAACACTTTGTACCCATAAGATGTTTTTGAATAATAATAACGTATATGGTGACAAGCTGTCTATATGAGTTGATTACTAATTGCATCTGTATTAGTAGGCTAACTGAAAGAACAAAAGTATCACCGTGGAGAAGAATTCCAACTAGTGTTCTAGTTAGTTTGATACGGTTTATTTAGTTATGGAGAGATTTTCTCGACCTCATTTTTACTTGATCATGATAGTGCTACTACTAATACATATAAATGGTTATCAAACCTTTTTTTGTGAGTGAAAAGTGATGATTGTGTGAATTTTGGACCAATATCTAAGAGCAATTTGTTGGACATGAGTGTATTCGTAAGAGACACGCTCCAGAGTCAATCTTCTGATTTGCCATAGACGATTTACTTATATTCATACATACCGGCTGATAGTCCATACAAGTTGGTTGCAAGTTTGCAGCTTAGCATGAGGCGGAATACGATTTAATTGAGATATGGTGATTGTAAGTTGTTGAAATCAACTAAACCTATGTGCCACAATTATAGGTGATGTGATGCTGCTAAACCTCGCTAAACTTCCAATTAGACTGACAAGGTTTTGAGATATTTACTGTATGAGCAACTGATAGAGAAACATACTGATATAATCTGTAATGTATGAAGATAACGAGAAAACACCACTTACTTACTACTTACAATCGCCTGTTAATCATAGTGAAGGAGCATAGGGGGCTCACCAGCATTCGCCATCCAACCCTGTCCTGGGCAATCCTTTCCAGCTCCTTCCAGTTGTTATTCATCCTTTTCATATCTGCTTTTATTATCCGACGTAATGTGTTCTCAGGCCTTCCTCTTTTCCGTTTCCCTTCAGGATTACAAGTTAGGGCTTGTCTTGTGATGCAGTTTGATGATTTGCGTAATGTATGTCCTATTCATTTCCATCGTCTTTTCCTAATTTCTTCTTTTGTTGGAAGCTGATTTGTTCTCTCCCACAAAAGGCTGTTGCTGATGGTATCCGGTCAATGGATGTTGAGTATCTTGCGAAGACAGCTATTTATAACTACTTGTACCTTCTTGATGTTGTTGTAGTTGTAGTTCTTCAAGTTTCAGCTCCATACAGTAGAACTGCCTTGACGTTCGTATTGAAGATTCTCACTTTGATATTGGTTGAAAGTTGTTTTGAGTTCCATATGTTCTTTAACTGTAGGAATGCTGTCCTTGCTTTGCCAATCCTTGCCTTTACGTCTGCATCTGAGCCTCCTTGTTCACCAATGATGCTTCCCAGGTATGTGAAGGATTCTACATTTTCCAGAGTTTCGCCATCAAAAGTGATTGTATTGCTGTTCTCCGTGTTGTATTTGAGGACCTCGGTTTTCCCTCTGTGTATGATGAAGTCTACTGATGTAGAGACTGCTGCCACACTGGCTGTCCTTGTCTGCATCTGTTTGTGTGTATGCGATAAAAGTGCTAGTTCATCTGCGAAGTCCAAATCGTCTAATTGATTTTGAGCTGTCCATTGAATTCCGTGCTTTCCTTCAGATGTCGAGGTCCTCATAATCCAGTCGACCACCAGAAGAAAAAGGAGGGGAGAGAGTAGACAGCCTTGTCTTACTCCAGTCCTCACTTGGAATGCA